ACCTTTGTTATTTCCGGGTTAGTCGAAAACGTCCTCCAACTCCCGAAAAACAAAAGCCAACCAATCCATAACCTCAAACAAGAGAAACAAATGTCAAAGATATATCGCAAGACACATCCAAACCTGCAAAGAAAAAGAAAAATTCGAAACCATCGGACGCCACTTCTCAGCCAAAACCCAACTTTATTAAAATTAAGAAATCAAAGCCCAATGCTCAGAAAGTGATTAATGTTGATCTTAAGCTAGATGCCAACGATGCGCCTGATCATGCTGAGAATGATAACTCCAGTCCTGGTGCTAATTGGCCTAAGGTAATACAACCTCGCCTCACTTTTTCTTTTGTTATTCTTTTATTTTCAATTGACAATAATTCTTCTTTCTTTTGGAGGATGATCAAACTGGTACCGAATACTCCAACATCAAATATGTTGTTCCCAGAAGTAGCAGTTCCCATTCAGTCCATCCTATATCCAACAAAGTTTCGAATAAAAGATCTACAGGCAAAGTGAATGAACATGCTGAAGTTCACCAAGACGTTCCTCCACCCACTGTTTCACCTCAACAATCTCAACTATCTGATTCTGGAAGTGGTAGTGAAGAGGTAGAGCCCAACAACATGGAGATTCCAGATACGAAAGAGCTTAATCAAGAAAAAACAGATGATTCTTCACCCAAAATTCCCAACCATGGAGAAGATGGTCCAGATGATGAAGACGAACATATGTCTAACATCTCTGAAGATCCTCAAGGCGAAGAAGGACCTAAAAATGAAAATGCCCAACCGAATGACATGGCTGATATCAACCAACACTTTGGGACAATTAAGGGTTTCAAGGCCCCTTCGAATGTCACATTTGTTTCTCTTTTCCAAGAAGAGTTATAAATTTTGAAGAAAAACAAACCAGCTGAATATCTGAAATTTATGATGAGCGCAAGAGGTAGTTCAACTGATAAGTGTTCCAGTTCTTCGATCACTTTTGGTGGTCATTATACTATCAAACCTGCTGACAAACTGCTTAACAGATTAAAGAGAAAGTTTTTAGCGTCAACTTGATCCAAGTTTTAGAAAATGATCCAACTGCCTGCTATGGGATTAAGTATTTGGTTAAATAAGTTAACATCTTAACTACTCCTCTAGAAGTTGCATATTTCATTATAGAGCTCATATTCCTCATTGATCAAGTTACTGCAGATCTCACACGTAAACGTGAGGCTTCGACCAAGATCCATAACAAGACAGAGACCCAAACAACAGAATCGGATGCAGCCACTGAGTCTACCGAAAAATTCAAAGAGTTGGAAAAAACTTTTCAACAAAGTAAAGAGGAACTCAATACTTGTGCTACCAGTATTTCTAACTGAGAACAAAAAATCAAAGATCTGCAAGACAATATTCAAAAAGCCAAGGAACATCAAGAAGAAATTCAAAAACTTGATCGTAAGCAACTTGACGACAAGATCAAAGTAGGTGTATATCATGTCGAAAGGGCCCAAAATTTGGGAATCGAAATTGCTACCCTTACTTCCAGCAGGTCTGTGATCGAACGTCACATGTTGATATCCAAGACAAAGTATGAACAAATAAAGGCCATTATACCCTTTTGATTTTTGTACTTGCTTATTTGTTGTAAGTGTTTAAATTGTGGTTTCGACCTTGGATAATTTTGTAACGAATTTATCCATTTTGGCACTTAGTTTCAGTTACCATTTTGGTTTCTTATTTGCACATATGTTATTTTGTTAAGATTTTAACCTCCTGAAGCAGAGGTTTATATTTTTTCAAATATTTTCCATTTACCCTCAAGATTATTTGATCCTCTGCTAACTCTTCGGCTTCATAAGTGTTATTTGAAAAGACTTGGATAATCTGGAATGAACCTTCCAATTTGGGGACAATTTACCCAACGTTCTATATTTTCGAACCATGGGTAAAATTACTTTCCATACCAAATCTCCAGTCGAAAATTTTTTAATCTTGACCTTTTTATTATACGCTTTCTCCACTCTCTTTTCTGCCTTTCCAACAATTCTAAGGCATTCAATCTTTCCTTGTCTAAATCAACTAGTTCATCCAACATCATATTCCAATAAGACTCATATGGGATTTCACTTTGTCTCTGAATTCTAGTTGATTGGAGGTGAATTTCAACTGGTAAAACTGCATTATGCCCATAAGTCAATCGAAAATATGTAGCACTTGTAGCTTCCTTAGGATAAGTTCGACATGCCCATAAAATTTGGTCCAATGTATTATGCCAATTTTTTGGATTTTTTCCCACGTGCTTTTTTATCAATCCAATCACTAACTTGTTTGCTTCTTCGGCTTGAACATTCGCTTGGGCATAATAAGGCGTAGATGTCAGTAGTTTAATCCCCACTTCTTTAGCAAACTCTTGGACCTTTCGACCAGTGAACATTGACCCTTGATCAGTTGTAATGGTCTATGGGATTCTAAATCTATAAATTATATATCTCTAGATCTACTCAATGACAGCTTCTTGATCAATGTTTACCAAATGTATGGCGTCAATCCATTTAGTAAAGTAATCAATTCCCACTAAAATGTATTTATGACCTTTAGATAATGTTGGTCGATTCTCACCAACCAGATCTAAAGCCTACCCTCTTAAGGGTCAATGCTTTACTATAGAGTGCAATTCGCTTGCAGGGACATGTTACATACCTGCATGCATCTGGCATTCTTGGAACCCTTTAGCAAACTCAATGCAATCCTTCAACATAGTATCCCATTACGTTCCTTGTCGAAAAAATAACCATTTCATTTTATGGCTAACTTTATGAGCCCCACATGCCCCACTATGGACATTCGACATAGCTAAATATGCCTCAGTCTCAGTAAGGCATTTGAGAAAAACTCCTTCAGACGTCTTCTTAAACAATTCATTTCCCATAAGAGTATAACTTAAAGAATGATACCTAATTTTTGCTATGCAGATGTTATTGGATTCTCAGAATAATAATCTATTCGTTTTCTCCAATTTGTGTCTGTTAAGTTGTCAATAGCCAATATTTAAAAAAATTCTTCGTCTGCATAACCCAACTTCGTCATTTCCAAATCTGATGGAGATAGTCTGGTTGTCATTACTCTTCCTCGAACTTCAATATAATTTTCCAACTTCTCTATTGACACCTTGTATCCAAAAGAAATTTGAGCCAAGTCATTGGCCTCTTGATTCTTAAGTCAATGGATGTGTCTAATGTTTACCAATTCAAATTTTTGCAATAGTCTATTTGCTATTACAAAATACATTATTAAATTCTCTTTGACAAATTTATATTCTCTGGCAACCAATTCATAACCTCCACTTATTTCAACTCTAGTTATCCCTAATTCCAACAGAATTTCAAGGCCAACTATCAAAGCTTCATACTCAACCTCATTGGTTGAGCAAGGACCATTTATCCTATACTTGAATTTAGTTGGAATTTGGTTCGGAGAAATAATTAACACTCCAATACATGTTCCATATTTATGACCAGAACCATCAAATATAATTTCCATGGCTCGAGTTCTAGATGGTTTTGGAGATTTTCGACCATGGCATGGTCGACTATAAAGTGTGCAACCACTTACCCCTTTATAGCCTTTAGAGGCATATAAGTTAAAGAATACTCAGTCAAAGCAAGTGCCCATTTTCCAATTCGATTGTGCACGATTGGCTTAGATAACATATGTTTAATAATATCAAAATGAGATGAGACATACACATCAACAGGCTTTATATAATGCTTTAATTTGGTACAAGTACAAACATAGACACAACTTTTCAACCATGCTATACCTAGTTTATGCATCATTGAGAACCCCGACTAAGATGATAAATGGCCATTTCGACTCCATTTTCATCCTCCTTAGCAAGCATGCTCCCTATTGTTACATCAGATTCATAAATATATAACCTCATACTCTTACTTCTACAAGGAGGTGACATAATTGGAGGACAGGCTAGATATTCTTTAATTTTGTCAAACACTTCCTGATGTTTCTGCTCCCATTCAAAACCTTCCTTTTTTAGAAGAAGAAGAGGCGAAAAAGCTTGAGTCTTGTCACTTAGATTTGAGATGAACCTCCTTAATAAGTTGATCTTTCCCAACAAAGACTACAATTCCTTCTTTATTGATGGCGTTTCGCCTCTGTCATACCATAAATTTCGCCCATGAGTTTCAGTCGTTAATTCATCTGCATTAGCACATCATATTTGTTTCATCTGATCATGACATTTTGTTTGGTACATTATACTAGTTCATGGCATACATTCATATTAAATTGTCTGTATTTTGATCATAGTTGTTCATTTACATACCGCATTTTCAGTTGGAATCTTACATTCTACTATCATCATTGATTTTTTTTAATATTTAAATTTTTGAATTAACTAATATTTAACTCGCAATTTCTTTTTTCATTTTTATTAAACTTTCTTAAAACATTTGCATTAATTCTTGTTTATAATAATTGATTTCTTTGCAATTTTTTGACATTAAATTTATCTTTTTTAGAATAATTAAATTTAGATAATAACTTATTTTTAAATTGATTTACTTTTGTTTTTTAATGTTATTTTTATAGAAGCAGACCATTTTGTTATAGAAGCTCACAAATTGTACAACTCACGATTTTCCACCACTCTATAAAATCCGGGATTTATCCCCTCCACCACTCTCTCAATTCACAAACTCATCAATTTCAATCCGTATCCTTTCCTCATCTAATTCCTGTATTGCCCTCACTTTCAAACTATTATAAAACTAGCTTTCCCCAATAATTGTTGGAAGGTGGACACACAATATTCACAGAGAAATACACATAAAACAATAGCAGAGAATAAACTACAATCCACACAATCAATTCTACCAAAAAAAACTCTACTCAAACCAACCTTTAAAACCCTTCAATAGAACACGAAAATCACCAACAAAACTCACACAAATTCTGCAGAAACACTTATTTAACCCTTCAACCTAACACGCCTCAAACTTCACCCACTGTAACCACCAGAAATCCGCAACTCAGTCCCTCTGCATGAACTCACCACGCACTTGAACCCCACTGTCAGCCGCATCAGCAATCTGTAAAAAACCAATTCATTCACAGACCACACACGTCCACGACAATAAACCAAATGCAACACAGAGCAGAGTAAATCACACAGAGGCGAAGTAGAATAACTTAGACGAAGGCGAAGAGAAAATACATATTTGAAGGAAAGCATAGCTGAAGAAGCTTTCAAAGTTGAAACGGTGAATCGGTGGAAGTCTCTCTTTTTTATGTATTAATTTCTGATTGTTGTTTCCTTCTTCTTCAATATCTTGTAATCTGTAACTCTCAAAATCATAGTTATTGGATTGGGGTATTTAGGGATTGTTGGGGTTTGGGTTCATTGTTGATTGTTTTTTGTTTTATTGTGTTCATCCATGGCATTTTCATGAAGGAAACAGAGAAATGGAGAGATAGGAAGAACCATGAGAAGCAGAATAAAATGAAAAAGATGAACAAACACAGTTACGTGTGAGAGAGAGAGAAGCGTGAGATATAAGTTTTTTTGGCTTTTAATTTTCTTTCCCAATAAAGCTTTAATAAAAAATTAATAATTTAATTGTAATGCATTGATAAAAAAATTAAGAAATTAATTGTAATATAAATCAGATTTATACTCTCACTGAATCGTGACCGTTAAATGTTTATTGAAATTTGATTTTATTTTAATTATTTATATAATAATATTTATGAGTGATTGTGATTTACTGATCGTGTGTACTGATCTCAAAAATTAATTGAAATTTGATGGTGATAGAAACAATAAATATAAGCAGTACAAACCCTTAGTGTTCTCTAGGGTTTTCAGTTTTTTCTTTTCTCACAAGCATTTCAAGTGGGCTTCGTTTGAGCCCAATAAGTTGAACCAGGTACATTTTCTAATCATCACCTGAATTTCAACATCACACTCCCCAGCGCCTCCTATAATAACCATTTGGGCCTTTGCCCTTCAGCCCAGCACCCTTATTCCAACAAACACCCCCAGTTTACTGAATTCTAGCCCATTTTACTATTATTTTATTTTCTTTTATATTTTTTATTTATATAAAATACTATTACATTTTTTATTTATTTTAAACATTTATATTTAATTCAATTATTTGATTTCTAATTGATTAATTTTATTAAATATTATTTAATTAAATTAATCATTTGATATATTTGTTTGATATTATCTTTGGTGGTGCAATATGTAATTTTAACTGCTTTCATTTAAGCTTTATTGTATCCCTATTTGAAAATATGTATCTCACTCCCCATGTGATGTAATAGTTAATAACTACTTTATTGTTTTATTTTATTTAATTATTCATCACATACACAAACCATTTCAAAGGAACTAATACTCGATTGCGGCCACTTTCATACCTTGAGTTGATAAAGATTTTAAGCCTCGCAACAACCACACCTAATGCACACACCACGCTTCTCCTTGGGCTCACAATGGAGCTTTAGTCGATTGATTAAACTTAATTTTAATTAATTGATTAAATTTATTTCATGTATGCTCTTACCCGGTTTTAATTGCCTTATCTTTTGTGTGAGCCACCTTGTATGGGCCTGTAATAATTTATTTTCTTGCTTTACTTCATGCTTGTATATAATTATTCACAATTGTTCACTTCACTCAAACATTTTTGCAATAAACATTGGTCCAACGTCAAGTGATCCCTGTCTTCAAAACACTTTTATAATAAGGTATCAAACCTCGATCCAACGTCGAGTGACTTTATTTTCTCAAATAAATAAGGGTTGAATAGTAGGGGTAGACATGTGTTTATTCACTCAAAATTAATCAAGGACAAGTCACATGGCTTGTATTGGTCAATTATGACCCAACTAAAACACTTTTAAATGGAAGGGATAGACACATATCTTCCTTCTTCCTAAGTTAATCAAGGACAAGTTACCTAAATTGTATTGATTTCTCACTCTTTTCATAAAAAGGATTAAATGGGAGGATTAAGGTACCTACATTTTCTTTCCCTAAGTGTGCGGGTCTCAAGTACCCACTTTGGACATTCAAACACTCGTGTCCTAGAAAATTAATTCAAACTCATCAAACCTTGCCCACGTTCAAGTCTTTTTCAATCTTTCGCTCACACGCGATCTTCTTTTGCTCACATGCGAATCACTTGGTGAGTCTGACCGTCCACGTATGATTAAGCTACTACTTTCATAAATAAAATCAACCAACCAACACACTACATAAGCTCTAACTTTCCCATGGCACTTAGGGAATACATAGGCACACGATTGTGAAACCAAGGCGAGCCAACTTTCAAAAAACCTAAAAAACATTTCTCCTTACACACGAACGCACATGAACTAAATGGTTCCCATCGAGTATGATGGATGTGATGGTTGCTAAAATCTTCCCCTTGCATAATTGACCCCCGAATCCATCTTTTGGTTGCGATGACCATTTCGTTTCATTCTTGGGTTTTCTCTATATTTTCCCTTTCCTTTTAGGAATGAATAAAGTTAGATGCCGACTTTATTGAATTGAATAAAATAATTTTTCGACGCGCTACAGGCTCCATGGTGGCCTTGGTCTTATTTTAGTTGATTTCAATCCCCTTTTTATGGACCACAAAGCCTAGAAAAAACCTGCACACAAAAAGAACACTTGAGAGAATTCATCTTTAAACCATGCTTCCTCATTCTTTCGGATGACTGACGAAGATGGTCTATATGACTTTTCCATGATACAGACTTAACGATTATACCGTCAATGTAAGTCTGCACAAATGTCTCAATAAAATCATGAAAAATAGAATTCATTGCTCTTTGGTAAGTTTCCTCATCATTCTTTAAACCAAAATGCATCACTACCCACTTGTAAGTGCTCAAGGCTCCAGGGCATCGAAATGTCATTTTTGGCACATCTTCGTCACCAATAAATGAAATTCTAGTATCAGATATGTGATGTCGAAAGAGATGTCACGACATAAATATTTGATTGCAAGTAAGGTATAGTAAAATCAAAAGCAGTAAAAACACAAGAGATTGTTCACCCAGTTCAGTGTACAACAACACCTACTCTGGGGGCTACCAAGCCAGGGACAAGTTCACTAAATAGTATCAATTCATAGACCCTCAGTAAACAACCAGTTTACGATCTAATCACTTAATCACTACCCAAGCTAAACTTCTACCTAAGACTCACCTAGGTATGAGGCCATCCTCAAATCCCTTCAATCACTTACAAAATTAATAAGTTTGAAACACTTCAACCATTCGATGCTTAAAAGCTTATGAATGATACACAATTAACAACCCAAATAACAACTCAAATACTTAAACTAATACTTAGAGTGTATTACAAATAAAAAACATAAACTTCTAATCAGAAAGAAAGTATTTTTCTTCAAAAATTGTTTGTCTTTAAATAACGAAGCGAGTCCTTATATATGTGCAGATTTGGGCTTGGACTTGAAAACAAATATTCAAATCTTTTGAGTATTTCCATAAAAACAGGCTAAGATATAATTATGCAATTTGAAAAATATTCCTCCATATTTTTCGCAACCTATAGTTCACAAGTCCTGAGTTATAGAGTGCTGGAAATCAAGAAACAAAAGACTTAACTGATTTTGGGCTGAGATCAGATCAGTAGGCAGATGTCAAGACATCTGCTTTGATATCATTCAAAACAGTTTTGCTCCAAATGTTAAGACATTTAGCAAAATATTAACAAGTCATTGTTTTACAAAAATTGCTTCCAGTAACCACTTACAAACTCCCCTTTGGTAAATTTTGGCTAAAACATTGTTAGAGAATATTATCAGAGCAGCAGCACAATTATCATAGCATTATCAGGGCAGCAGCAAGCAAGGCAATCAAAAAATACATTCAGTTAGCAGATAGCTGTTAGCACAGGGAGATATCAAAACATCCTCTAGGACATGGGCTCCCCCTCAAGTATTGAGCTCCCCCTCAATCAATGGTCAGTGGTCAGTCAGTGGTTAGAGGTTAGTCATCCACTCACTCACTTTCTCTCCCCCTTTTTAGTCATAATATGCCAAATAAAAGATTTTATCAAAGGAATATCATTATTAGGGTACGGACCATAAAATTCAAATGTCAAGCACATGCAAGTGCCAAAAAAGAAACAAAGTGTTCAGATAAACATCAAACAATCTAACTGCCATCCTGACCAGTTGACTTGGTTGAACCAGAACTTCTTTCCTCACTTGAATCTTCACCTTCAAAGCTCATTGCATCATCAAGGTTGCTATCCTTTTGCAAGTACTTGATCATCTTTTCAAAGACTAGCTTCCTAGATGAGCTCACTCTGATCATATCATATAATTCCTTGCAAACTTCCTTTAGTTCATTGATCATTTCATCCTTAGTGGAGGTCTTGTCAGCAGGAGCAGATGTTAAAACAATGTATGGGACATGTTTTCCTGAAAAGAGCTTAAAGTGGAGGGTTAAGGCAGACTCTCTCTTGCACACAACATAATTTCCACTTAGTATTCCAGGGTGCTGAGTTAGGATAATTCCATAGAGGAGGGAAGGAAAAGCAATTGGCATCTTAATGGCACAAGTCCCTGCATGTTTGATGGTCTGATCAAAGATATAAGTCCCATATTTAAAAAGTTTTTGGTTTCCAATGGCATAAATGAACTTTCCTAAACCAATGGAGATGGTTGAAGTGTGATTAGTGGGAACCCAATGTAAAATTGCATATTTCACACTCAGTTTGCTGACATGAAGTTTGTTTTTCATTGGCCACTCACTTACTTGATTGGCAGTAATGGCTCTACACACTTGATTGTCTATAACTTCCAGCTCACAACATACATCTTCAGACCTATCTAGAAATTTGTTTATAATGGTAGGAGAAAATTCAACACACTTTCCTCTAACAAAAACCTTTCTATATTCCTTACTCTTATGGTCAGCACAGTCGACAAGAATATTAACAATAAACTCCTTAACAAGATTTTCATAGCAATTTGTGAACCTGGTAACTGTTTTCATCAGTCCAGCATAGGAGATCACCTCCATGATTTCCTTACATTCTAAGGCACCGGCTCCTAGTTCTCTCTCTAGGGCAATCCTTCTTTAATACACATACTTCCACTTTTCAGCATTCCCAACAGAGTGAAAGGAGATGTTGTCAAGTGGGGCATCAGGAACCCTAAAAGATAATTTCTTATTTGCATA